AGGAAAAATCTGTCTTATCTAACCTTTGGGCCAAACACTAAAAACAGATCTAGCACCCAAGTACCGCTGGGTTTTGAATAACCTTTGCTGTTGCTCTGTGAGAGTGTTTAAGGGTTCTGTTTGAAGTAAAGCTAGAAAATAGCATAGGTGCCTCCATAAACCAACCCCAGAGGACTTCTCTCTTTGTCTTTGGCTCTGGTTCCACCTCTACCTTTCTCCCTCCTTCCTTTCTACCTTCCTCCCTCTCTCTGTCAAAGCAATAGGGCAGATATTGATTACCTCTGTGAGTGTGTGTGCAATACCTAGGAGTCATATGCATCTTACCATCCTCTATCTGAGCAACCACACATCCCTGCTTTATCATCAGTATCCCCAAGGCAAGACATCTCACACAGAGATGTTTTCTTCTTCATAAATTAAGCTCATGTAGGGTTCTATTCCTAATACACAAAACTGTCAGTCTAAGGTAAAATACTATTGTAATTACAGCCAAAAGCCTCAATGATTTTTTTTTACACCCTCGAATTTTGGTAATTTATTTGGAAAATGATAGCTGAGACTGCAGTGAAACCACCATCTGACTTTTGCTAGGGGCAGCTCTGCAAAAGGCTTGCACCTAAAAATGTAACAACCAAAAAGTAGAACTGCTGCCTCTCAGTTGTATGCCTCCATGAACCAGTCAAGTTGCAGTTACAGTTTACATCCATGTCTATCCAGACTCATATATAGCCATGACAGTTGACAAAGCTTCAAATGTTCCTACAAAGAAGCAACACTGGATGCTTCACATACAAGTTCAACCCAGCTGCAGTGGGCACCCAAGATTAGCGTCACCAATTCAGTACCTGACTAAATGTCTCCTCTTCTGTTCCTCAGTTATGACATTGAAAAATGGCCAGAAAATAGTTTATGCAGAGCATTATAATGTCAAAGTGAAGCTGACCTTTGGCTATCAAATGTCATCAGTTCATAATTTTCTTCTATTGGACGTTTTTGTGAAATTTTGTCAAAATTAGCATATGAGGTTTGCAGGGTCACAGTGACCTTGACCTTTTACAATCAAATTCTGATCAGTTCATGTGGACGTTTGTGTCAAATTTGAGGAAATTCCTTTCAGGCCTTTCTGAGATATCACGTTCACCAGAATGAGATGGATGCAAGGTCACAGTGACCTTTGACCTTTTACCACCACACTAATCAGTTCATCCCTGAGCCCATGTGGACTTTTCTGCCAAATATTTAAAAACTCTTTCAAGGCCTTCTAGAGATGTCGTGTTAATCATAATGACAGGGATGCAAGGTTATGCTGACCTTGATCTTTGACCAACAAAATATAATCAGTCCATCCTAAGACATGCATGTTCTCAATGGCATTTAATTGTTCATAGTGGTTTTAATATTTTAGTATTTTATAATCCTTTTTACATATGTAATTGTTCTTACCTGTATTATTCTGTTTTACATTCGTGTACATTTTATATTGCTATATATTTGTGTGTCATTCTTTTAATTTGTACAGCACTTTGGACAAGTACAGTTGTTTTTAAATGTTTTATATAAATAAACTCGATTTGATTTGATCCTTGAGTCCAAGTGGACGTTTTGTGCTAAATTTTGAAGAAATTCCCTCAAGACATTGAGATATTGCGGTCATGAAAATGAAATGGACAAGGTCACAATTAGGGATGTCCCGATCCAGCTTTTTACTTCCGATCCGATACCGATATTACAGCCTTGAGTTTTGGCCGATACCGATACTGATCTGATCCAAACGCGTAGTCATGTCATGTCAGTCATGTTAGAAGAAGGTTTGATCAAGCGATATTACTCTAACAAGAACAACTACTTAATCAGGTTAGTTAGAATGATCCACAACAGTTGGTATGAGAAACTGACCTGTTTATTGTGAACAGGGTTAAATAAACAAACTTTAAACTTGAACATTAACATTAAATAAAAAATATAGCTTGTTTGCTTTGGCTGCTTTGGCCCCTTAATAAATAGAAAATAAATCAACACAAGAAATCTTTAAAATGTCTAACACTGAAATTAAATAGCAGCAAGACTCCACACACTTGTGCTTTGGCCCCCTAATAAATAAAAAATAGATTAACACCACAAGACATTGTTGACATTTAACAAACAATGTAGCCTTTCTTTTTCAGTTATTTTTGTAGTGTCAGTGCCAGCCTGGTGCTGCTGTTTCCTTAGTGTCTGCATGCTGACCTGGTGGACTGATAGTAAGTGCTGGAGCAGATCACTGGAATGGACTGCTTGAATTGCGGAGCGCTGGGCTGGCCAGAAAACCTGGATCGGATTCTATGAAAAACTGGATCGGAGTTCATGGATCGGCATTTTTCCATGCAGTCCGATCCGATGCCGATGCACGTTTTTTGCTAATATCGGCGGCCGATACCGATCCGAATATCGGATCGGGACATCCCTAGTCCCAATGACCTTGACCTTTGACCAACATATCTTATCACTTCATCCTCAACTCCAGTTCAACTAGATGTTTGTGCCAAAATTGAAGAAAGGCATTCTTGAGATACTGAATTTAGGAGAATGGGACTGACAGACGGATTGATGGAAGGACCAATGGATGGACAGGCAATACAAAAACATAATGCCTCCGTCAATGGCTGTTGCTGGTGTGAAGGCATAAAAACAACAATGAAATAATTTTATGGTACAGCACTTCGTCAATGTCAATGACAGTAAATATACAGGTGACATGTAAAAATAACATTAAGAAAGTTAGCCTAAGTCAAACACTAAGCATATGGCACTTTAGCCATGCAGCATTAGTCCTAACATTTAGCTAATAAATATAAATGGGTAAAGATGTTCTAGGAATTTAATGAGTTTGAATTAAGCTAAAGTGAGTTATGGTGGTTCAGTGATAAGCATAAAGAAGGTACTGGGTTTAAAGCTGAATGGAGCTTTTCAGTGTACAAGGCATTTGGAAAATCCAAATTACCCATAGCTGTGAATGTGTCTGTCTAGTTGTGTTATTTTTGTGATACAGTGGCGTCCAGCATGGAGGCCAGGTGACACCAGCCTTTCACCCAACAAATGCCGGGATAGGCTCCAACCCCCTGTGACCCTGTGCAGGATAAATGGTATAGAAAATGGACAGATGGATGAAAGAGAATAAAAGAAAAAACAGTCAGTGGTACCCCCAAAAATAAAATTGTTGTATATCAAAAATTAGTGTATATTTTGGCTGTCTCACATTTAGTGCTGGAGGGAGACATATTTCTGTTTTCAAACATCCAGCATGAAGGAGATTGTGTGCGTTTGAAGGGATCTATCAAAGACAGAGGAACCAATAAAACCTGGTTGTCCCTCTTAACAAGCAATAGGGCAAGCAGAGAATTAGTAAAGATTTTCTCTCTCATTTGTTCTGAGCCTTATTCCCACTCGGACCTAAGAGACATGGTTTGTTCAGCCTAGGTGTTGATGAGCCATGTCATCCCAATTAGGCTGGCTCCAAAAAGCAATCTGTTTTCAATTGTTATCTGAAGAAAATAAGGATGGAAAGGCGAGACAAAGAACAGAGCCAACCAGAAGGAGGTGTTGATAAGCACTGACCAACTGAACAGAGACTCATTCTCTAACATGTGCTACCACACAGTGTCATCACCTTGATTGAAGATGGGAGTTCATTTTGCCTGTGCACAATTGGTTGTCAAGTATTAATGTTGAATATGGCCACAAAAAACATCTGACATTTCTGATGTTCTAGGGGAATAATAATCTTGCTGGTCTCTTTGGCTTTAATAAAACATCTTTGATACTTTGGTATCTTAGGCAGGTAATAAGCATGATAATAAATCACACTCCATAAACTAGAAGAGTCAAGAGTCTTTTGAAATCTAAAAAAAAACAACTGAGGTGAAACATTTCACACCACCAACAAGTTTGAATTATTTTAACCTATATTGAAGTTTAAATTCCTTCACAGTTTTAGTTGTTATTCAAATCACCCAGCAGACTGTCTAGGACTTAAAGGGTTCCATTAAGTGCAAAAACTTTAACAGCTCCATCAATCATCCTGCTGATCTGATGGAACTCATCAATCAGAAGCGCCACAAATTATTTCATTATTTCCACCGTACGTTCTATGGAAAATAGCTTCTTGTTTCGATTTGGACAATAACTCTGATAATTGGCAGAAGGTGAAAAGCTCCTACTTGAAAAGTATGACATGGTAATACAGGTATGCAGGATTTTCCAAAGCAAACAAACAAACCAAAAATCTATAGACTCCAACAAACGTAATCCCTCTCAGTCATCCCATATGACCCACTAATAGTGTGTAGTGGTGTATGTATGTGTAGAGACTGAAGTTAGGACTTTATATAATGATAAAGACAAGGTACTAGCATCATGCATTCAAAAGGAAGCTACGAAAGACACAGCACTCAAAACCGCAAATATGGTGGGGCAAAACACCAAGTGGACAAAGCTTGGACTGGCTTTCACTTTCACTTTGACTTTTGCTGGTAATACTGCTTACAAACAGGAGCAGATAATTCCTGGATATACCTTGAAAGATATCAGTGTTTCCCTTATATGTTTTAAGCAGTGGTGCTATGCCACTTCTAAATGATTAGCATCACTGTTATTTCCTCCTGAGACCCAAACTTTTGTTTGGTATGTATTTTCAATTTCTCCTAGCTATTTGGGATCAATAGTATCAGATAAGTATAAAAACCTAAACACTGTCAACGACAATTAAGTCCCAATGTCCTCAAATGCTTAACTGTGTCTTATCTTGTTACTGTTGCTAACATTGGTCAAATCTGTTGTCATATCAAACTACAAACATTATTAATGGAGTTTCAACCATAAAATGTGATCAGGTTTCGTCCATTTTTGTTTCAGGATCGGCTGTAGACTAATTTGGCAAAGATGGCTGCCATCTTGTTTTTAATTGGATTATTGTATTGTGCTTAAGTTCCCTACTAACACTGTAAGCACTTCACTCCGTCCAGATTTGGTGGTAACATCAGAGTCTACTAAGCAAGTGGTTCTACTGGAACTGACTATCCCCTGGGAGGACCGGAACGAAGAAGCCAATGAGTGTAAGAGGGCTAAATATGCAGAGCTCATCGCAGAGTGCTGGAGCAACGGATGGAAAGCCCGCTGCGAGCCAGTTGAAGTCGGGTGCCGAGGCTTTGCTGGACACTCACTCCAGAGAACTTTGAAGCTTCTTGGTGTAAGAGGACTGCAGTTAAGGAGAGCCACTAAGAACATCCTTGAGGCTGCTGAAAAGGCCTCACAGTGGCTGTGGATCCGTAGGGGGGATCCGTGGAAGAACGTGCCACTTGGACACGAGTCGGGGACTGATCACCCTTGGCTGGGTTGCCCGGGCGAGGGTGTCTGATGATTTAAGACCCGAAACACCCTGTGACCCCGCGTTCATCACTGAAGACGTGTCCAAGCAGCACCGCAGCGAAAAGTATCCACGAACGAGGATGACATGTCTAAGTTAAAGGGATAGTGCACCCAAAAATGAAAATTCAGCCATTATCTATTCACCCATATGCCGACGGAGGCTCTGGTGAAGTTTTAGAGTCCTCACATCCCTTGTGGAGATCGGTGGGGTCAGCGGCTAGCACACCTAATTTGAGCGCGGAGCACAGAGAAGCAGTCAGAGCTACAGGCTACAGTGAGGCTTAAAACAGAGTTCAAATGACGTTTTTCGAAACAACTTTTTATGTCGGGGCTTCACGACACTTGGATCACTATGGATGGGCATGTTGGAGATATTTTGTGGCTGACGGCGCCCCAGACTAACGTCCAAGAATACAAAATTGAAACCACAAAATATCTCCAACATGCCCATCCATAGTGATCCAAGTGTCGTGAAGCCCCGACATAAAAAAGTTGTTTCGAAAAATGTCATTTGAACTCTTTATCTACTTTATTAATCCCCGAGGGGAAATTCAATTTTTCACTGTGTTGTCAATTACACACAGATCCGAACACACACATGCACAAACTGGACCTATACATGCAGTAAGTGGAGAGATGTCAGAGTGGGCTGCCCATGACAGGCGCTCCGAGCGGTAGGGGGGTTCGGTGCCTTGCTCAGGGGCACCTCGGCAGTGCCCAGGAGGTGAACTGGCACCTCTCCAGCTACCAGTCCACGCTCCATATTTTGGTCCGGACGGGGACTTGAACAGGCGACCCTCCGGTTCCCAACCCAGGTCCCTATGGACTGAGCTACTGCCGCCCCCAAATACCGAATACCGAACCGAATAGTTCGAACACCGATTACAAGAGCTGATCAGATGATGCAATACATGCATGCAAGACAATTTCTTTACATGTCCCCAAAATAGCTTCACTGGTCTGACAGTTCTGATAAACTGTGGCGCGCACACACACACACACACACACACACACACACACACACACCACAATGAACGCTTCTGTAGAGGCTGCAACCAGCAAAAAAGTCATCTGTTTGTAGTCTTACTCTCCGACAACTTTATCCTCTACTGTGTTACGCACACCAGCTGGATTATGGAAGTAACTGTGATGTTCTTGGAGCTTTGCCAACCTATTAGTCACAAGAAGCATTGTTTTACTTTATTGGCCAAATTTTATATCAATTCTCAAATTGAGTGATTTTGCGCTACTGTTGTAAAGGTACTATATCCATTTTCCAATTCCAATGTCTGAATATTTTCAACAATTAAAAGTTAATTGCTCATTGTTTTTAATTGCTGTCTTATTATGCTATTATATTATCATTACATCAGTGGCATAAAATGGTCTCACATAAAAATAATATCATTTAGTGCAATTATTTTTGGACAAATTGTCAAACAAAAGCAGCCTAGTCACTGTGACAGGCCTAGTTTTGATGTCATTAATCAAAAACCACTTGAAATATTTGGATGCAGTTTTTTGTATATAGGTAACTTGTATCTATGTTCTACTTGGCAACAGGTGGCTTAGCAATGGGGCCGCTCCAAAGGGAAAATGGCAGGGCCAGATTTTGTTACCAGTCCGACCCTGAGGGGAAGCATTTTATCAAATGCAATTCAACATCCACAGCTGTATTCAGATGTGTGTCTAAAGCCATTCTCGTGTCAGCAGACTCACTAAATATCTTCTGGTGGTGCGAAGTAAAACTCAAAAAAAAAATTAAAATAAAATAAATAATCCTGTGGGAAACACTGGATATAGTGTATAATCATGATAAAGGGACATGTTCTTTACCTTTACTGCATCCTTTTATTGTTGATGTGGGTGCTGTATTCAGCTGTGCACTGCTGTATATATATTTTCTATCTTTCCAGTAATGTCCTTGTATTTTATTTTCAACCTTGGTTTCTGTTGCAAACACAGGAGCGGGCCAGATGGGGACTGGCAGGATGTGGTTTCATTTATGTATGTGAGTAAAATGAGCCATTTCCACTTTGGCCTTGACTAAGGTCTCAAAAGATTATAAACCTTCAGAAATAGACCAAAGATGCGCTCACCGTATGCACTGAAATTAATTAGATAGTTATTCTGGATGGTTGCCACTGCACTTCTGTGAGTGTGTGTGTGTGTGTTTTTTTTAATTTTTCCTGACCTCCTGGCAGAGCGGAATAACAAATAGATAATTTTGCATTCACAGCTTTGCTTCCTGTCATATAACAGCCACAAATGCACATTTTAATAAGGCAAAGGACAGGTTAAAATATTGTATGCAGAAACCACACACAGCATGCATAGAGCAATAGCCCTTGTTAAGAAGCACCCGGTGTCTAAAGAAACAACAACCATATGCATTATTTTCAACTTTGCCAGTTGCCGTCACGCTCTTCATTTACAAATTTTACAGCAGCAACTGTTCAAATCAGTCGTCATAGCATTGTTGATGCAATAAAATGTTTTGCTAGCATTGTCTCTCCCTCTCTGAATCATCCCCCCAAAAGAATCAATAGTTTGCAGAGCATAAATTGAGACGGAATTGAAGGAAATAAATCACTCTTGCTCCAGTTAACACTTTGCCCGCATGTGCACTTAGTGGGACCTCAGAAAGCTACCGCCTTGAAAATGCAATCTAGGTGTAAACACAGAGGCACTTTGTACAAAGCTGAAGCCTAAACAACACTTGTCACCTTCCTTTCAGACTAAGCAATCAGTCTGTTCTTGAATGATACAGCAGCCTTTAGAAAATGCCTCAGGTGTCACCTCTTTTCTGGACCATTTTAGCTCATATTTTGAGTCCGCCATGAATAAATAATGCAAGGCTTTTATGACAGTGACAGCGAGGAGTCAAGCCATGGTTGAGGGGAGAATGGGAAGGCTGTATGTATGTGTGTTTGAGAAAGATACAGAGCATGAATGTTTGTGTGTGTGTGTGTGTATATATGTGTGTGTGTGTGTGTGTGGAGTGTTTAGTGGATGCAGCTGGACTGGATGTATTATTGATGTGCTGTTAGCACTCCCAGGGAGTTGCAGTCTCATCAGAGTTTGCCAGGGGATTAACAGCCTCAAAAAAGCAAACCAGGGAAACAGAAAAAAGGCACGGAGCATATCCCTCATCCGAGTCCCACCCTCCCTCCTCTCCCTCACAGAAATGAGCCATCATTTAAAGGCAAAAGGCATTATCTTCATATGAGACATCTGGCTGGGTGCGACACGGTGGAATTATTGATTAGTTTTGATTTTATTTAACAGCCTGCTACTGTGGTACAGTTTTCAAATGAAGTCACATTTGTAATGACTTTCCACATGATTACACAGTTGGCACCGTTCTGAGATGGTTAACCATTTCTGGTTGTATGTGTCTGCCTCTCCTGTTTACTGAAGCTCTTGACACAACATGGCCGCACACAGACACATAACACAAGCACACACATATAAACACTGATCTACAGGTGCAGTCAGTGTATCAACGAAGGCCACGTTCCCACCCTGCTTCCTGTCATCCTCTATTATAGTTTCATTAGGCCGGTGGAGAAGCACAGCCCATGGATGGATGGATGGAGGAGCACTATTCCTTTTCTAACTCACCAATCAGAGCCAGACAGAGCACCACAGAGACTCATACATCCACCTGCTTCACTCTCGCCTTCTACTTCCCCACTTTGCTCATTTCCTCTCAATTTGTGTTTGCATTTTTATTTCACATGAAAATATTTCATGTATTCAAGGCTACAGTATGTTTAGGTTTTCTGTAATGTAATTTATTTGGTGGTAGGTATGTGGAGTGGAAAAACAAAATGATTCCTTTGTTTACAGAACAGTGCTACCATTGCAATTTAAAACGAGACTAATAGTGTGTTCAAAAGTGAATCACATTTTTTGCATGGCACTATTACACACAAGGTCAACTCAGATACATCAATAGACACAAATGCTTGTCATCGCTGAGAATCAGAAATGGAAGACAACCTTATTGTCCTTGTCTGTGGCAGCTGGACTCTATGACTTAACATCAGCACTGTACAGAGACCAAAAAGAAAAGAGCTTGGAGAAAAGTGAGTGAAGCCATAACTGCACAGTAGGTTCCTTAAATATATTTCTTACTTGTAAAAGCTATTTTGTTGAGTTGCCTATGAGCAAAATGCTTAGTAATTTAAGTTGGGCTTTTATTGTGAAAGGTAAAACAACAGAAGGAGTGAAGTTGTATTGAAACTGCTGTGGGTAATGTGAAAAATTATAAGAACAAGATATACAGTCAGGTCTATAATTATTTGGACAATGATACAGTTGTTGTCATTTTGGCTCTGTACACCACCACAATGGGTTTTAAATGAAACAATGAATACCTGCTTAAATTGCAGACTCTCAGCTTTCATTTAAGGCTTTTTTCAAAAATGTAGTATGAACCGTGTAGGAATGACAACCATTTCTTCACACAGTCCCCCAACTTTAATGGCTCTTAAGTATTTGGTCAAACTAACATAATCATCAATTAAACAGTCAGTTTTAATACTTGGTTGCAAATCCTTTACAGTCAATGACTGCCTGAAGTGTTGGACACATAGGCATCATCAGATGCTGGGTTTCTTCCCTGGTGATGCTCTGCCAGCCCTTTACTGCAGCTGTCTGCACTTCCTGCTTGTGTTTTGGGTGTTTTGCCCTCAGTTTTGGCTTCAGCAAGAGAAACGCATGCTCAGTTGGATTCAGGTCAGATGATATGACTTGGCCATTGCAGAACATTCCACTTCTTTGCCTTAAAAATGGTTGCTTTTGCAATATGCTTCAGGTCAATGTCCAACTGCACTGTGAAGCATCGTCCAATGAGTTTTGAAGCATTTGGTTGAATCTGAGCAGATAATGGTGCCCCAAACACTTCAGCTTTCATCCTGCTGCTCTTGTAAGCAAGACAAGACTTCACTAGAATAAATACAGAGGGTTTATCACAAGATGCAA